TGGACAGATTTCCTGAACTCTCTTGTGTATAATTCTTTGGGTGACTATTATAAATAATGTTATAAAATATGTGTCCTGTATTGTATTATTCCCCTTGCAAAATTCCCAAATCTAGACAAATAATGTAGTTTTTCCTTGTTTTTTTAATGTTTTTTTAAAGATAGATATATTTATTTCTTAAAATGTGTTAATCTGTTTCTTAAAATTTGTTGGATCCATATCTAAAACTTTATTCATTTAGTGCTTATTTGAAATTTTTTCTGGGAGGGGTTTCCCAGGAATCAAACTCAGGACCTCACGCTTGCCAGACAGGCGCTGCGCCACTGAGCTGTATTCCCAGCCCCTCAGTGCTTGCTTGGAAGTTTGTCTTTTTGTTTTTTCTTACTTGTCCCTTTTACATTCTTGTCTTACATTTCATTTTTGGTTATTTGAACTGATTTATATTCATTACATCTCAGATTTTGCATTTGTTGTCATAAATGTTTTTAATTTCTATTAAGATGGTAATTGTACAATTAAGACTCGCTGTGATACTTTCATATATGCATACAATATGCAGTCATATCCACCTACTCCCATTCCATCCGAGATGCACCCCTTTCCCAGTCCCTAGACTTTTTCTTTTAGTTTCCACACATGAGAGAACAGGGAGCACTTGTTTTTCTGTGTTGTTATGGACTTACTTCTCTCAGCCTGATGTCCTTCATTTTGGTGGAAATGACAGAAGTTCATTCTTCTTTGTGGCTGTGTATACTCCATTATGTGTACGTACTGTATTTTATTTATGTTACCATCTGTTGATGAACTCTTAGGCTGAATACTTAGGCTGTGTTAGTGATTGTGACTGGCACTGTAATAAATAGGTTCACACAGTTCTCTTCTGTATGCAGACTTTGTTTCCTTTAGATAAATACCCATGAAGGGAATATCTGGATCATATGTTTTTGAGAAACTAATTTTCTATAGTGGCTGTATGAATTTGCATTCCTACCAACAGTATGTGAGACTTCCTTTTTCTCTGCATCCTTAGCAACATTTTTTAAAATTTTCGATAGTAGCTTTTCTAACTGAGGTGAGATGGTACCTCATTGTAGTTTTGATTTGAATTTCCCTGTTCGCTAACGACAGTATTTTTTCATATACTTAATATCCATTTGTAATTTCTGTTTTGAGAAGTGTCTATTCGTATTGAACGGAGAAATTAAAAATTTTAAATAAAAGCCTGCCCAGGATGCCCACAAGACCAAGCAGATGTATCCAGCAGGCCCAGGAACAGAACACTCCTTCCTTTATATAAATCCCTTTCTTTACTGCCTTTGTGTAACTGATGACCTTGCAATGTAACTTCACATCTCACGGGACACTTCTGGACACTTCCTTTGTGTAACTCGTGCTTGTTTAACTGATGGTCTTGCAATGTAACTTTGAGATGTTTAAGCTCCCTTAGCAACCCATGATGTCACCCAACACTCCAATCATAATGCACCAAATCTGCCTTTGTACCTCCCCACTTACCTTCCCTATAAAAGTCCCAAAATCCGATGGGGGAGGGAGGCCGACTCTTTGGGAGCAATCCCAGTCAAGCCCACCAGTGTAAATAAATTGCTTCCTAAACCTTCTCAGTGCCATTTCCTCCCATTCTGTAGCAATATCATTTACACATTTTCTAATTAAATTACTTGCTTTTTGTTTTTTTTTTTTTTTTTTTGAGTTGTTTATAAGTCTTGGCTATTTCTACTTGTCACATTACACTTTCATTTCTGTGCTTTTTGAGCCTGTTAAGACGATCATTGCCTATACCAGTATTCACAGTTTCCGCCACATTTTCTTTTAATAGTTTCAGAGTTTCAGGTCTTTCTTAAAGGCTTTGCTCCATTTTGAGTTCATTTTGAGCAAGAGATAGGAGTTGGGTTTCAGTCTTTTGCATAGGGATATCCAGTTTCCTCAGCAGCATTTGTTGAAGAAGCTGTCCTTTCTCCAGTGTATATTTTTGGCTCCTTTGTCAAGAAGTAGTTGATTGTATGTGCATGGGTTTATTTCTAGGTTATCTATGCAACTTCTGTGTGTGTATGTTTTTGTGCCAGTTCCATACTTTCTGTTACCACGGGTCAGTAGTATGACGTACTAGGTATTGTGATATCTCCAGCCTGGCCTGGGGGAGGTGGGGCAGTTGTGTGTGGAACTCCCCATACCCAATCCTGGCCACACCTGGGCCCAGTGAGCAGCTCCCTGCCCCCGTTCCCTGTGTCACAGCACCCATTCCCCACGGCATAGCCCAGGGCATTTGTGTCACTCATGTCATGGAGCCAGGTTTGACTTGTGAGATTGCCATCTTCCACCCAGTGCATTGGGCTGCTGTGGGGTGCCAGAGGTGGGAATATGTAGGGGTTCCTGACCCCAGAACAGATGAAATTCAGAAAATTCATCTCTCCTCAAGAAAATTCATCTCTCCTCAAGGGGTTCCAGGGCTCTAGCACCCTGGGGTTCCAGGAGATGAAGCGAATTACTTTTCCGTAGCCAGACTCCTGTGCAGGTGTCCTGACTCTTACCTATTTAGGGTGGTAGCCTGCAAGGGTGTGAAACTTTCCAATAGCTAGGATTGCGATTATCTGTGCTGACCAGTTTGCTGGGACTCTCTCACTTGTACCCTGCAGGAGGGGAGACTCCCTTCCCTTGGCTGTGGAGGGAGAGCAGCAGATGAGGGGCTATTTTATTTCCCTTGCTGCTTTGCTGACCTAGGTGTCTGGATTTCATAAGGTATCATTTTTCTGCTGTGGATTCCAGTGTTTCCCATAGTCAGTCATCTCAGTGTACGTACTGCTTCGGTTCTTCTTTGCAGCGTTGGAGCCCATCTTGCCCTCTCCCTGTTTCCTTGTTCATATAGCACATTTAGAGGCCCCTGCTGCTGACCTGGCCTTCCCTGGTAACGTCTGTTTTGATCACCTAGACCGCGCATTGCTTGATTTAGCTGCCATATCCCCAGTGACTGTGCTTCCCCTTCCATTTGAGCCAGTGAGCAGTCTGGGTGGCTGGTGTAAGAATATGCAAATGTCCTGTTCAAAATCTCCACCCATTGGTTTTTTCCATATCCATCATTACTGCGATTTTTCCAAGCCCAGCCTTCTCTTCATCTCTTCACCTCTTCGTATCTTCTCTTCATATCTAAGAAATTTCGTAGCTTTTTCCTGCCAGTTACTTTTCTTACTTTTTTTTGTTTTTCAATTTACTTTCCCCATATTTTATCATTGTTTTAAATTCCTATTACATTATAAAATAACAGTAGGTCAGGAATATGGGTGACTGATTATGAAAATTAATAGTAATCAAAGAAATACAAATTTATTATACATACCCTTTTTTGGAAGGGCAACCTGACAAAGAATTAGGATAATCTAATTAAGAATGTAATGAAACAAAGGCTGTTAGAGTTTGAAGAGAATAAATTGTTAAAACCTTTCCTGAGGGCATTTTGGTAATGCTTTTCAAAAGTCTTAAAACTGTACAAATGTCCATTAAACATCAAACTCCAATTTTTGAACTTGTGCAATTTTATAGCATTTTTCCGTAGTGCTTTCTAATGCTCCTTTATATTCCTTCCTTCTTTTCAGTCCCTGCTCACCAATCCTCAACTGATCTACTTTTTCTTCCTATAAATTAGTTTGTATTTTTAACTATAAATAGTCATAGTCATACAGTATATTTTAATACCTGGCTTTTTTCATTCAGCAAAATTGAGATTCAAACATATTATTGCAGATATTGCTTAGTCTTCAAAGTTTTATTTGTTTTGTTTTAGGTTTTGCTACTGGGAATGGAACTCAGGACCTTGTGCTTGCCAGGCAGGTGCTATGCCGCTGAGCTATATCCCCAGCCCAGTCCAGTCTTTGAAGTTTTATAGCTAATACTGTTTCTTCATTGTGGCTTTAATTTACATTTCCTTTATGGCTAATGATATTGAAGCATCATTCTTTGTGCTTATTTATGTCTTTGTATCTTTGGTGAAGTATCTGTTCAAATGTTTCCTCTGTTTTTTACTCAGCAGTGTGTTTCATTACTGAATTTTATGACATATATATATATTTTTCTCACACTGGCTTATCTTCTCTTCACAGTTTCACAGACTAGGAATTCTTAGTTTCAGTAAGGTTCAAGGAACTGCATTTCTTAACATTTACCCTGGGGAAATAATAACATGGTCTATACTAGGATAGTCACTCTGGGAAAATTGGAAAACACCCTGATGTTGAACAGCAGAATTTGTTTAAGTATGTTATGACAATCTAAAAAATAGAATGCTATTCCCTTTTAAAATATTATAGTATTAAAGTCTATTGTTTTAGCCATTTATGATACTATTTAATAAGAAAAATATGTAAAAGTCTCATACTATATATACTAAAATGTTGGCAGTGATAATCACAGGATAATGGAATTATAACTATTTCTTTGTGATTTTGTAATACCTTTGTATGCATACAGGTACTTCTCTTTCATCCAGATTTTAGGAGCGGTATCATGACAACTTAATCTAAAAGAAAATATTTTAACTTACATATTTTCATAAACTGCATGGAACATGCTCTAATACACATCAATAGCTGTTGTTTTTATCTAGAGATGCTTTGAATGTAACCTCTGTGTCTTTCAGTAACACAGTATATTTGATTATTTGCCCGAGCAGTGATTTCTGAAGTCTGTGTTTCTCATCATACCCTTTGGTTGCCTTTGCTCCAAATTTAAATGACCATGTTTTGTGTGCTCAGGAAAATGCTTAAGCCTGATTTGTCTTATATTGTACTACTACTAAAAATCATCCTTTTGACACTGTTAATAGCCATTGTTTTACCATTGGATTCTTTTGAGTTTTTTTTTTTCCGGTACCGGGAATTGAACTCACGACCTCGCACTTGCCAGGCAGGCGCTGTGCCACTGAGCTAAATTCCCATCCCCATCATTGGGTTCTTTTGAAATCCTGTTTATTACTGTGTTTCTATGCATAGGAACTCTCAAAAAACCTTGAGCTGAGTACTAACAGTTTCCAACGGCAGTTGCTTGCTGAAAGGAAAAGAGCCTTTGAGGCTCATGATGAGAATAAAGTTCTTCAAGAAGAGCTACAGCAGCTGTATCACAAACTAAAGGTAAGCACTTTATTTTCAATAGCATGTTTCCCCTGTAATATAAGTTAGACGAAAATCTAATATTTTAGAACACTCATTCACATTTAAAAGATACAATTTACAAAATTCTACAAAGAAAAGGTTTGTTAACATAATCACTTTAAGGGCTGGGGATATAGCTCAGCAGCATAAGTGCCTGCCTGGCAAGTGCAAGGTCCTCAGTTCGATTCCCGGTACCCAAAAAAAAAAAAATAATAATAATTACTTTAATAAGGTAAAATTTAGTTGCAATAGGAACAGTGTGACTAAAATACCTAAATTCCTAGAAGATAATTATGGGAGTTAGCATTTGTGTTACATGGTTAAATAATCTAATATTCTTCTTCCAATAACCCCATCATTGATTCTTTATAAAGTTGTTTCAAGTAATGCCTTCATTTTCACAATGCTTAGAGCTAGCATTCAAATTTTATTTAGAGATCATTGATTGGTTGAAATTTTGTGCAGAATTGTGAGGAATTATGCATTTTTTACATGGTTTCATTTCTCAGAAAAAGCATTGCCCCAGATGGTCAAGAACACGTGTGTTTAAAAGAATGGTCTGATTTTTATCAGTCACTCAGAAACTGTATTTGAAAGATTCTAACTAAATGCATTGTCTCTGTAACGAAGCCTGGGTGACAGTTACAGTGTGACTGCCTCCATCAGGTAGGAGAAGTTACAAAATGGAGATAGCCGTATTCACCTTTTTTTTTTAACCTATGAAGATTGGACTTTTTAAGGAGAATTATTGCGCTTCTCCAGCGTAAATGTACTAGAGACATTTGATTCTGTGGTTCAGTTCAATGTGTAAGGAAAATGCCAGTTGACTAAGTGAAGGTATTTGTTTTGTTTTAAACTGAGACTCTTCTTCCTTAATTGTGTTGGGTTTGTTTTCAGGAAAAAGAGAGAGAACTGGATATAAAAAACATATATTCTAACCGTATGCCAAAGTCCTCTCCAAAGAAAGAAGAAAAAAATTCATCAAGAAAAAATGGTATCGTAATTTTTGTTCAAAAGTTGATAGGATAGCTGTTAATAAAATATATTCAGAAGTAGAGGGAAAAGGGGAGGAAAAGAGGAAAGCACCCACAGTGCTGTTCTGCAGTTTAATTTTCAGAAATCCTTTTTGTCTTAGCCATTAGTACACGTGTGCAGCACGTAACAATTATATTCCTGTGGAGAGCTGGCACACGTATGTAACACATATCAATTCTTTTTTTCATCCCCCATCTCTTGATCCCTTTCCCATCTGAGATTTTCCTACTTCCTATTATCTTTTATTTTGGTCTTTATTTATATTTTGGGTTTCTTATATAAGAAACCATTCAGTATTTAAGCCTGTGTGTCTGAGTTATTTCACTTAACATTATGGTCTCAAGCTACATCCATGTTCTGATAAATGATCAAGCTTATCCTTTGTATAAGGCAGAGTAGTACTCCATTGTGGGTAAATACATTTCCTTTGTTCGTTCATCAGTGAACGGACATATAGGTTGCTGCCAAATTTAGCAGTTATGAATTGTGCTGCTGTTCAACTCTGGTCAGTTTTTTCCATCTAAAGTCCTTAAGATTGTTTTACATATTTATTACAAATATGTAAGTGTACCTGGAATAGAAAAGATAGTAAATGAGCCTTTATTTATGTATCGCCCTAACTTTTAACAGTAAAGATTTTCACCAATTTTATTTTTATCTCATTTTCCTACTTTTTCTAGAGTATTTTAAAGCAAATTCCAAAATCATTTAATTTCACTAGTAAATATTTCGACATGGTTTGACTTTTTTCTAACAAAAGTATAATTTTATGAATTACAAAAATTCAGAACAAACTTTGTAAAGTTTCAGTAGCATTTACAGTCAGAATTTCCCTAGATCATATAATTTCTAGTTAAATCCTTCAAAAATTTTAAAAAGGTTCACTCACTGAACTGAGCAAAACATACATTGTCTTATTTGGATAATGAATATATCCCAGTTGAATTCCATATATGTTATCATTGTTCAGTGGCCTTAGAAAAAAACTGTTTATACTTTTAATGGTAGCTGCGTGCCAGAGTGACCTGACAGACCTGTGTACCAAAGGAGTCCAAACCATTGAAGAGTCTGAACCGGAAGAACTCCTGGTAACACCGGAAACAACTCTGTGTTATGAAAACAAGTGGGAAGAACCAGAACACCTTACTTCGGTGAGTCCAGCAATGTGACTGTATTCCACACTGTAGATTTGAGGTTATTCCTAAAAACACGGTAGCATCAATGAGGGAGCTAGTGCTATACCTGTGTGGATATTCAACTTGCCTTTTAAAGAGTGAGAGATAAATCTGTACTTTATTAAGTTCTTTCAGATTGACTCATTGCATTTCCAGATACTTCAGAGATTGAATGTACCTTCTGGGTTGGAGGTAAAAGCATTTTTTTTCAGAGTTCCTTCTCTTTTATGTACCCAGAGGGTCTTGGAAAAACCTAAGTGTTTTTATGTTTAATAGCAGACTATAGTAGTTTTCAAATTGTTAGAATTTAACAAAAATAAATTGAAATTGTTTCGCTTCTTATGTAAGAGACATTTATAGGTTAACTGAATGCTGAACATGCCTGGACTCTGACTTTATCTGTTCAGTTTAGAGTGGATTTGGGACATCCGTACTGGACTTTCATGTAAAAGGACTTTCATACTAAATCACTGGCAGGTCCTTTTTTCTAAGAGGGAATTTTACAATCTAATGTTTACAGTCTAAATTGCAATGAAATGAATATTTCAGGGATCTTGTATATTCCATGTTTTTGTACCTTATAAATTTTCCTAGGGACTATGTATGAGATGTCTTCTTGTGGTATAAAACAGAAAGGATAGATTGATTTGATTCCTCTGTGTACTCTAGTGTTTTATGTATTTAATTTTGTTTTATGACATATTTGTTGTATCTTCTGAGTTGTGTCTTTGAAATGATAAAGTCTAGCATACTTTAACTTTAAAAGTTTAAAACATTTTGATCCCTGTAAGCATCAGCAGGAGTAGCAGCAATCTGATGAGAAGAATACAGATTTACGGTTAGCTCTGCTTTCCAGTTAAATCTGTTTCTCCTTGGAGCTGCAGTTTCCTCATCTGGGAAATAGGGGTGGATTAATTTTGAGGGGTTGTGATGACTAATCAAAGTTACTCAAGCTCTTGAGATTGATAGGACTTCAGCAAACGGCAGCTTAGTTAGGACTCAGATATAGTTGCTATTGGAAAGAGGCTCAATATCGTGGCTGACATAAGTTTGACTTTGTTCCATGATAGTCATTGTCAATCTTACTGATCTCCCATTGGAGGGTGAGTCCTCTTCTGTATGACTGGAACTGACTTCCTATACCTTTGAAAAAGTAGAGAGCAAGTGGTTTTTGTAACGGGTCAGGTGTTATACACGTTTCTACTTTCTTCTCCTTTTGGTCTTATCTAGGTGCAAGGGAGGCTAGCAAATGCAGTCTCCAACTGCATAGTCAGTTCTGTATCCTCCTGAAACCTAGGGTCCTGTTGCTAAAAGGAACAACATTAAAATGGATACTAGGGCACAGTTATCTACTAGACAAGTTTTTACTAGTAACAGATTAGATGTCTTACTTTTTGGAAAGAGGCATAAGAAACAAAGGAATTTTAAGTTCATAACTTTCTCTTATTTGATTTAAATATTGCTGAATTTATTAATTGGAACCTTTGGACATAGAAAGAACTTGAAAAATTCAGTGCAATTGTCACTACATGTGTTATACTTCAGCAACACATCACAAAGCCACCATAATTGGTTAGTAGGCTGGCCTGAAACTTGCTGTGATCCTCCTGCCTCAGCCTCCTGAGTGCTGGGACTAAAGGCACGCAACAGCACACCCAGCTGGAAGATAAATTCATAATATTTAAATAGTATTTTCCTCCTCAAATTTGCATTTTAAAAATGTGTTATAGGACCCAGAATCCCAAGAGCAAGATGAGCACAAAGAAGCACGGATTCCAAGCCCAATTGTGGAAAAAGAAGAAGAACGCTTTAAAGATGAAGGACTGCATTTTGTAAAACAAGGGGTTGAGAAGCTAGAGGATGGTAAGAGAAACGTTTGCATGACAAGTAATGAGTTCTTTCCTTTAGAAAAGAATGAGGTAGGGTCTCTTAATATCTTCTGGCAGAATACAGAATAAAAAAAGGTTGATGAACTAGTAGGAAACGGTCCATGAGGAGCCACAAACATTTGAATGAAGTTACTGAGGAAAGAAAAAGTTGAAGGGTGAGTTGTTTGGGGGGGCAGAGAATAAAAGGAAAAGTTACCTTCAGGAAATGTAGCTCACGCAGGACTCAGATGGAAGAAAAGACATTCTGTGTATGTTAACTAACGTGATGAAGAAACAAGTGACAGTCACCTCTCTTGGCTTGAACTTGAGATTCTCTGGTCCCTAGACGAGTGTGAGCATAAAAAAATCAATGAATTATGAAGCCCTGAACATTTTGTTAGTTCTTCTTTGATCTTAAGTTATAAAATAAATCTTAATGTTCCTAACCATTAGTGTGAAAAGTAAGTGAACAAGCTCACATAAGTTCAGACACTGGAAATAGAGTTCAGGAATAAGTTCGTTTTTATCTGGGTAAAATGTCCTAGAGATGTGAGCAGGAGGGATCCCAGACTAACGTTTTTAATGTATCCCACTAGTTATATAGTATCTGCTGAGAGAAAAATCTTTTTATTTTTTTGGGCTGAACTTCCTGAAACAAAGTCACGACTCAGTTGTCACATTTGTGTGTGTGTGCGCAGCGTGGCTGTTGACACAGGAATTACACACACCTCACTGTTGGCCGGTCGACAGAGCAAGGTGCTTGCCCACGTTAAAGTACAAAGTAGAAAACTTAGTGTTGTGGCCAACTCCATCTAGATAATGAGAAAAGGAGTAAATAGCGGAAAACTGTTACTCGCCTTTGTCCTTCAGACGGATGTTTTATCCTCCTGGAGTCTATATGGAATGACCTCTGACCTCAGTGAGAGTGTGTGGCATTTATTAAAACCATCAGATTTGTAATGTTCTTATATATTTTAATATTTTCATTTGGAAATAACTTCAAAATTAGAGAAAAGTGGCAAAAATAAAAAACTATTTAAGAACGAATCGTACACCTCATGTTTACCCCTTAAGTACTTCCATGTGTATTCCTCCAAACAAGGATCTCTCTTACATCACTCCAACATAGTGTTCAACCTCAAGACATTTAGCTAATAATAAAGCATTCCTTTCCTCTGTTGTCCATATTTTGATCGTGTCAGTGGACACCATCGTATTCTTCTTTCAAACATAATCATAAATTGTATTTAATTTTCATATCTCTTCAGCTTTTATTCTGGAGCAGCTTCTTTGTGAGAGTAACACTTTTTTTAGGAATCCATTTTTAAAAGCAGAATACTCTTCATTTGGGCTTTGTCTGAATCTCTGCCTTAATGCATGTGCTATCAGAAGAAGTGATGTATCTTGTTAAGGATGTGGCACCAAAGGGCTTATTTTTAAATGTAAAAGTCTTTACTTCATCCACCCTTCCCACCACCCACTAGGAAATATACAGCATTATATTTGTTATAAAAATAACCTTCCCTAGCCAGGTGTGGTGGTGCACGCCTGTAATCCCAGCACTCGGGAGGCTGAGGCAGGAGGATTGTTGCGAGTTCAAGACCAGTCTGGACTACAAAGTGAGCTGAAGGCCAGCCTGAACTGCATAGTGAGACCCTGTCTCAAAAAGACAAAAAAATTTATAGAAAAATAACCTTCCTTACCCACACCTTCAAGACAATGTTTTCCATAAATGTAAACCTTAAATTCAGTATATTATTCCCTAATCCCAACTGTCTAGTATAGAGATGAAATTTTATAACGTTCATCTTTACTAATACCCAAATTAGATGAAAATTATTGCTTTGTAGAAGATGGTAATTGAATTTTCCTATATAAAGATATTACCTGCTATAAAACCTCATTTTCAAAATTTGATTTCATGCAGAATGGGAAAGAGAAGAACTTGATAAAAAGCAAAAAGAAAAGACATCTTTACTTGAGAGAGAAGAAAAGCCAGAATTGGAAACTGGAAGGTATGAAATGGGAATGTATCAAATTCAAAATATTGATAAGTTAAAAGAAGAAGAAGAAAGACTCAAGACAGCAGTGCTGCTCGCTAAACTGAATGAGATCGACAGAGAGTGCCAAGATCCCCGGAATCTCAAATACCCTCCTTTGCCATTAATACCTGATTTGGAATCAAAACTGCACTCGGAGAAAAGCCCCAAAACTCACATATTCTCTGAATCCTCAGAGAAATTTTCTAATGGACATCATTTGGGAGACATAAGTTTTTTACTTCCAAAGGGAGAAGGCCAGAATCCAGGAAATACTAGAGGCCCAGCCTCTCCAAATGAGTTTTCCTTCGGTAGCTATGTGCCTTCATTTGCAAAAACATCAGGTAAATCAAATCCACTTAGGCAAAAAAGTGGCCTTTGTGATTTTCCCAAAACCAGTGTGGACACTCTTAGTAAAGACACTATAGATTTAACTGCAAGAAAAGAGAAAAAAGCCAACCTGATGGAACAGCTGTTTGGTACCAGTGGCAACAATACCATTTCCTCTAAAAGCAGTGACCCAAATTCTCTGGCTGCCAGCAAAGAAGACTTTGATCCTCTAAATTTTCTCCCTAGTGATAAGGGTAAAAGCAGTAGAGATAGGGAACGTGATGAAGATGAAGACTTTTTCCTTGGTGAAGGAAGAAGTTTTAATCCAAATAAGCAGCGATTAAAACATGCCAACAGCAAAACAGCAGTAAAAGCAGTTGATTCTGTAGAAGAGGACATTGAAGAAGTGGCACTGAGATGACTGACTAGAGTTTACATTTTTCTCTGATTGTAAATATTAAAATTTTAATATAATATTAAAATTTAGATTTTTTAATGTTAAAAAGTCCTTATTAAAGAATGATTTTTAGTAGTTCAATTAAAAAGAAACAGCACATCCACACTATATAGCTAGTTTGCTAAGAATGAAGCAGGCTTTTTTTTTAATGAAACTTAATATAAAGATATATTAGTCAGTTTTCCTGTTGCTGGGATGCAGTACCCAACACCCACAGCCTATAGGAGGAGGAGAAGGTTTAAATTGGCTCATGGCTCACAGTTCAGGGGATTCAGTCCATGGTCAGATAGCTCCCCAGTAGAGACATCAAGGTAGAAGGGTGAGGTGGAGTAAAGCTGCTTAATTCACGGCAGCCAGTGAGCAGAACAGGGAAACAGCTCCAGAGGGAGGGTGAGGGAATCAGATACAGACCCCAATGTCACACTTCCATGACCCAGCCAAACACTGCAGAGTTGGACTCACCAATGCCCTGGGTGGTTGCCAAGCCAGTCAAATTTAATCACTGCAGAGATGTCTTTTACTTCGTTTTGACCTTTTAGTTACTAATACTTTTTACCTGTTATGGGAGGCTTTACTTCACTGGAAGTCACATTTATTTCCTACTTTTATCCGTATTTGGAAATTTTAATATGTACTTTTAAGATTTGAATTTTCCCTCACACTAAAGAAACAATAGGGTAATACTGTTGGACTTACAGGACTTATTCTAAAGCAACTTTGGATAAAAGATTTTTAGAATGGAACTTCTGCCTTGCTGAATAGAGTATGTAGATTTCTGTTGAAACACATTGGTTTTCTTTTAGATGTCTCTAGTTCACCTCAGGTGCAAGGAGTAGGTTGGGTGTGCTTATTCTTTGAGAATCAGTAATACACCACCAGCCAAGGGGAAAACACTGTTAAAATGAAGAGTGGAGGAAATTGTATATCTAGAAGAATAAAAACTTTATAGAGAGGCACTTATTCTAATCTTAGTGGTGTTTTTCAAGAATGCAGTATATATTTGTTCATTGTATCATTTCTGATGCCATGCATACATACTGATGAGTCCTTATAAAAACTTACTCATGAATATCATTTCATGACCGATAAGACTTACTTGGCTGGGTCTTTTAAAAATGTACCATCTATCATCATCTAAATTGTGTTACTTGTTATTGGATATAATCTTCCAAAAGTGCTAATTTGTATTAATTTTTTAAAGAGATTTTTGTATATGATATTTATTATGTTACAAGTCATTCTAATATATATCAAATGTTTGTACTGCAAATAGTCTATAAAATATATAATGCTTCATTTAGTCTGCTAATTTTTGGTCAGAACTATTCTGTTTTAAGTTTTATTTTCAATGCTTTAATAAAACTTTATAGAAAAGTTTTTTATTCAGGATATTTTAATTAGTCTCAGTTTTTTCCTACCTGATAAAGTGTCTTTATGCAGATGCAACAGACAGAATTATTAAAAGCTAAAATTAAGTTATAGGGTAAAAGCATTATGATGTTATTAAAATTGGAGATTTACATGTGCAGAACAGGTTTTTTTATGAACAGACCTTAGTGAATCATTTTTTCCAAAGTCAATTTAAATTTATTTGTATTCAGAACTTATTAATAAAAATTTTAAAACCTTATGACTATTTGAATGATACCTGGATTTCTTTAAAAAATGTAGTGGATCTGCAGGATAAATTTTTATTTAATTACTCACCTTTTTTATAGCTGGTATTCGTAGTTGAATTAAATGAATTTGCCCTCAGTCAGGTTAGACAGTGTGCTAATCTTATCAGATAATTACAGTTTTAATTAATCTTTTCATTCTCAGGAGCATCTGTCATAATGGTACATATTGCTTATAATAAAAAACAAGGCTGAGAAAGATTAAAATGAGCCACAAACACAAACCTATTGTGTGATTCACTGATTTTCTGATCACCCTCTTCATCTCATTTTCAGCCACACGTCCTACGCTCTGGTGTCCCCTCTGGTATATCACCCCACCCCCACTGCCTGCTGGCTGGGAGCTGGGTGGAGAATGCAAATCTGCCTGATGAAAAGGGAAAGGGAAATTTGTATCCTAGTGACAGTATGAATTTTTAGGATTAAAGGAGGTACTATAAATTGTCAATGAGGAACACTTTTAAAAGCATTTTTTCCCCTACTACACAGTACCTACCCTTCTCAAAATAAAGTTCTCTATTATGCAGTTTGAAAGTATTTTGTTTTTATTAAAGGCATCAGTCCCCTGCTCTCAGAGCAAAGCAGAGGGCTCCATCACTGCCCTCCCACTGCTGCCTATGTGTCCGGCCAGACTACAGTTCCTCACCAGTACTGATCTTTCAGAATTCTTCCTACACTGGCTATGGGCAAATGAAATGTGGTATGAAGCCGGGCGTGGTGGTGCACGCCTGTAATCCCAGCACCCGGGAGGCTGAGGCAGGAGGATTGTTGTGAGTTCGAGGCCAGCCTGGGCTACAAAGTGAGCTCAAAGCCAACCTGAACTGCATAGCGAGACCCTGTCTCAAAAAAGACAAAAATAAATAAATAAATAAATAAATAAATAAATAAATAAATAAATAAATAAAAATGTGCTATGAAATTTAATGCTTAAGTTAAATCAGTATTAAATGTGCTGTGAAATTTATAAGCTTTTCCACAGAAGGGTAGAGAAACTAAACTTTGCAAGGGTTTTCAGTGACATAAGGAGAGGTGAGAAGTTGACAGCAACGAGAAAACAAAATCCAGGAAGAACAGGACCTTACAGTTACATAATGTGGTAATTCCTACCCTACCACTGAAGGAATGTGTATCCTCAGTTAACCTGCTAACCTCTCCTAGTCTGCTTTTCTGTAAGGCCAGGTTGATGAGATTTCTCACTTCATGGCAGTCTGTACATTTCATTAGTTGACATACCAAGGATGAACGGGAAGCACTTAAATATCAGCTGCTTTGTTTTTCTGGGGGGAAAAAAAATCAAGAAAGGGAGAGGGCAGTTATACTTGTTGGCTGCCCCAAAATGGTAGTTGTTGGTTTTCTGTTTTAGCTCATTTATTTCTCACAAACCTTCTCTGAAGTATCTGATACTTTATTACTCCCTTTTTAAAGTTGAAGCTGATATATTACACTATAAATTGTAGAGTACATAAATTGCACTCAACAGTCTCACTATAAGAAATAAAACATGTATTTTAGGGATTTGTGGTACTATTTTCATAAATTCAAACTAGCTTCAGCAAAATAAAGAAAACTCAGGAAAGTGCTTGAGTCTGGACGGTCAGTCCATGCTGATTCTGCCCACCTACGGTCTTGCTGGTCTCCTTTCTGAATAAACCTCGCTTTTGGCAAAAATACTACAGTTGACAGCCGCAAACCCACATCTTCCCTTCAGTGGGCGCTGCCTCCGCAGACGCTGGCTGTGGCTCTGGCAGAATCTAAGTGGCTCCGTTACACCCGCAGCCCACCTTTAGGGCTGCAGCCGCGTGCAGGGAAAGGACTCCTTCCTCACCATTCATGACGGGAAGTGCGGAAATATAGTTCTACTGATACAAGGGATTCTGAGTGGTTGGTTCTTATGGAAATACACTTTCAAACACTTTTACTAGAATAAGCATTAGTTACTGATCAATACACTTCATTGCCAGGAACAACACTTCTGTAATTAGACTGAGTGACAATTGGAGTTTCACAGTGGGATTCCTGGGTTATTAAGGGTGAGCTTCAGCAGGGAGAGGAATATGCAAGCCATTTACATTTTAGAGTTCACACAAAAGGCTTAGAGCTCAGAAACATATTCTCCTATGCCGCATGTGACATTTGTGAAACGTATTCACAATAAATGAACATACTCAACCTGAGTTTAAAAAATTAGTAATAGGAATGTGCGGCCAAGGTAGAATAGGCAGATGCCAGGCTTTGGAGTCAGGGGATTCGTTGGAATGTGCCACTTACAAATGAAAACATTGCTGAAATAACTTACAGTTTCTCAGATGTGAAATGGGGCTAATTACATCTTACAAGTTGTGAGGATGGAGGTGATATATTTTTGAGAGATGAAAATAAGTGAATAACATAAGGTATATCAGTAGAGGGAGAAGGTTATCTATTCAGCATTTTAAAATAAACTTCTGTAACACCCCAGGCCTTTTCTTCTTTAATAGAAGCTTGTGGACGTGGAATAAATGTGTGTTCTTACCCTGTGCTCTGCCCCCTCTGACTGAAGTGATCTCATCGGCAGAGACAAGCAGAGGCTGCACTCCTGCATCGAATGTACTTTGCCTGCTGTTTGGGCGAACACGCAGCCTGTAGCAGTAGTTTCCACACATAGCTGTGCTTCACTGGCTGTTTCCATGGAGGAGTAAAAGATACAAATCAGGGGCCAGGATTGTGGATTGAAGGCCAGGTTTTAGAATTCAAGATGAAGCCTCCCTGCCAGGCGCCTTTCTAAATACCAGGGCCAAAGGCCACCTTCCTTCTCATTTTAACTGACCTGAATATCAAATTTCAGGTTTCCTTCCCAGTTGACACTGATTCTGGACAGGCATCCTTTCACACAGTCCATACAGCACATCACAGGTTTCAGATTTTTTTTTTTAACTCATAATAAGGAACCCAGGAGTTACTGTACACAGGCAGTCGTGGATAATGAAAACTCAGTACGATGAGAAACACGGGTTTGCTGGCCTTTTTTTTTCTTCTATAAGAACTCTCTCCCCCAATCTTAAATTTAACTTCAATATTTGCTTCTAATCTAGGTAACATTTGTAGTAGTTACTCTCCTAAGCACTTACAGAGGAGCTCCTTCAAATAGTGTGTACAAACCTTTATGCTCTTTACGTCAAATAATTTTCAATACAGAAACAGAATGGAACAAAACACGTAGGAAGATCTGTTTGTGTTAACTGCATCACACACTGTGGTCAGGGGCTTGAATATGGAACCATGGAGCCCATGACTCCGAAGTCTAGTTTTATTATAGGTAGGGCAGACTCTGCACCCGGGCAGGAAACGGCGGCCTGAACGGTGTTGCCATTGTATTAAAAAACAGATTCAGCATCACTTAAGTGGACAATTTGCTATGTCCTTTTAGATGGTAGTTCTCAAAGTGTGTCTCCCAGAGCTATAGCAGTATTCCCTAAGATCTTTGTAAAAATGCCAATTCTCAGGCTCCATCATGCCAGACTTTCTAAATGAGAAACTGCGGGCATAGGCCAGCAATCTGTACGTGAACAAGATCCTTGGCGGCGGGGTGTTGATACAGCTCAAGATTGAGAAGCACTTTCTAAAGTAACACTAGTGTGGTAAAGGGTGTTCTTCATGTAGTATACAGAAATGGCTACCTGCGGGGTTTTGCACATTCAAATCCAGCACTTTTGGCTGTGGTCACAGAAGGCAAGGGCAGCACGGACTCATTGTTACCTCCTCAAACCACTACCTTTGTAATGGCTACTACCAAGCTGTGGTCTGCAGATGGCAATTCTCAGTGGCTAATATGTCAGAAAATTTGAACTAGTTAGGAAAGAGGAATTCCATCAAAACAGCCAACACCAGTAAGACCAGGGAGTTAACATGGCATTCCCTCATTATAGCCTATACCCCCTAATTAAAAAAAAACTTCAAAATATTATCCTTATAGCATGCTCTCAAAAATTCATTGATGGGGTTTAAACTTGACGTTGCAGGTGAGTGTGCATTTTGTTTCAGCATTGACGCTCTTAAAATTTCAGATTTTCAAAAATTGAAGAAAAAAGTATGTGTGCGTGTGTGCATACTTAATGGTCTGGGTAAGAAGTCCATGTGCTGGAAATTTAAGAAATTTTAAAATTATCCATATATAGGGAATATTTCAAATAAAAGTAAAACAGAACTAAGTGTTTAAATTTCTCATGTGTACATTGCTCAGCATCTGTGAAGATAGATGTGTATAAATAAGAATCTGCATGTACACCCAGAGGGAGTGTTTATTTATGCCCAAATCCATTCTGTTTGTATAAGTTTAGATTTTGTTAGCAATACGAAGTTACCGTATGTCTTTCTTTGGCTTCCTGAATTTTTTTGTCTATTACAAAATTAAACAAAAACTGATAACACGTATCTTGAACAAACCTGGTTTTGTGGATTCTGTTTGAATGGTGCCGTCAGTTCACATAAAAGTGCAATATTGATGATGGGGTGGTGGTAGTCAGGATGAGAATAGCTATACTTCTAAACATGCACTCAAGCGTATTTCTCCAGGGCTCAGTCCCCATAAAATATATCACTGGAAAGTGTGCATTTGCAGGCCAATACAAGTGTAGCATTGCACATTGTGAATATATTTATAAAACTGTGATCACCCCAGTGTAATTTTGGCCTGGGGACTGACGGGCTCCTAGAGTAATTAATATATTCGTTCTGACACTTCCATTCAAATCATAACTTTATCTGTCTCCTTACTGCTCTGCATTATTTATAAACATGCTCTAAAAACTCCTCATTTAGTTAGGAATTTCCCCCTTTATCTTTCTCACCAGTAATTCTCATTTTCAGCTGTAGCTAATTTCTGTTTCTGTTTTTAAGTATCTTTTTGATTAACTGCAAAGTTTAATGGAGTCCAGCAGCATAATTAAATCGGTGGACATTGTCAGTTGGGTTTCTCCTGCACTGCAGAGAGGTTGCTAGGATACTCTTAAAGGTACAATTCTCTTGATTAACTGCAAAAGCCAGATTGCCCAACTAACATTTTTATTCATTCATAGAAATATGGGTCAGGATTACATTTAAATTTACCACATGATGACTGCTATATATCTCTGAATGCTCTTTGTATTACAGAAATGTGTTTAAGTATGTTACAAAGAATGTGTTTTGAATAACAATTTAGTGGATAAGAATTACTCGTCTTTATGTTAGGAAAATCATTTATTTGGGTTGCTCAGTGTATGTGGATTTCAAGCTGAAAATTCTGAATTTTAAATTGCCATTGGGAAATACATCTTCACTGTGTCCGCAGCAATCCTACTGTGATCACTATGTTTTTATTTATCAGTGTATTTGATTCCAAAATTGCATAGAAATTGGAACCATTGCCCCTGGTTGATTTAATAAAATAAAATGAAGCAGCTTACACTGCAAAATAGAACTTCATCTGTATCACTTGATTTGATGTGGACAGTTGTCTTGAGGGTAAGAACTCACAGAGGGCTTAACCTGCGTGGCATTTCACCTAAAAATTATTT